GGGCTCACACACACACAGAGCAAGGATTGTGAGGCTGGCACAGGACTGGCCAGTGTTTCATTCTGTTGTACATAGGGTTGCTATGAGTCAGAGCTGACTTGAGACAGCTAACAACAACAACATCAAATGGAGGTGGACCATCATAAAGGTCTTCATCCTCATTGCCTACATGTTGAGTAGGCAAAGTAAGAAGAGGGATTGGTTTCCTGTCTCAGAAGTGGCAGAGGCAAAAGAGGAGGAAGAGAAGGAAGGAGAGGAAGGCACACTGAATGTCACTTTAAGGAAATACATCATAATTTCTGTCTGACTTTCTTGCTTTTTCATTTCTCTAAAATTGTTTCTATATGGTACCAGTCGTCCTGCCACCATTTGCTTTAGTTTCACTGTCTGTATCTATGTCATAAAAGAAGTCAAAAGAAGTCTTGAATAAGTCTATGATTCTGGAACCCTTCTGCCAGATTGTCTAGTGTCAATTTATTTTCTGACACTGCTTCTTCTATGTTCTTCCTCATAATGTGATACTAGTTCAGAAGCACTCATCTCTATAAAGTCGTCTTGTTCATTCCCCTGGTGTGGTGTCCATTAGCTCTTGAATTTCTCCAAGATCCATGTCTTAAAATAAATCCATGTATAGGTAGACCTGCATAATTCAAACCCGTGTTCTAGGGTCAACTGTCATTGTACTTGTATCTCAGGTCTTAACTCTGAGACTGGAGGCTGTGTTCTTGGTGCTCCATTGGAATGGTGGTACAGCTGGGGAAATCTCCTGGTTTATGTCATCCTTGCCATAAATTTGGCGAGTATCATGCTTTTCTTCTTCATATTCCTTGGAGAAGGGAATTACCTATGCCAGGTACCATGTTTTAGGCCCTTAACATTCTTTATCATGTTTAATTTTCATAAGGTAGGTGCCAGGCCTTTCTTTCTACATACCACACAGCTAGCAAGTCATGGAGAAAGGCCTTGAAGCCAAGGCTCCCTGACTCTACAACTGACACTACTTCCATTTTAACCAGTGATTCCAAACCACAGAACTGCAGATTAGAGTTAGTTCTAAACCAAGGTTTCTCTAGTCTTTAGTGAGAAGATCTTGTCAAGGGTAATACCTGCCTATCTTGGAAGACACTGTTATTTATTCAGAGATTGTGCCTGTCTTCTATCTAGGTGTCAAAAACTTTTATTAATTTTACGAAACAATGGTGATTGTAAAAGGTAACTAAGAAAAATGCCCTAAATTGTCAAAGTCAAAAAATTGTTTTCCCTAAGTCATTCTGAGGGGGTGTTGGTGGTTTCATGATTGAATTCTCACACTCCATGTGGGAGATCCAGCCAGTGTACCTCATACACAACCACCACCTGTCTGCCAGTGGTAGTTTGTGTGTTCCTATGATGCTGATGAGGTTTTAGCAGAGTTTCCAGACTAAGACAGACTA